ACTAGAGGACCTGCCATATGGAGAAAGGCAGAGAGAACTGGGTCTGTTCAGCCTTGAGAAGGCTTAAGGGAGACCTTAATCCCATGTACCAGCACATAAAGGGTGGCTGGAAGAAGATGGAGACTCCCTTTTTACCAGGAGTCACATGGAAAAGACAAGGGGTAATGGGTACAAGTTGCTCCTGGGGAGATTCCGATCGGACTCTGGAGGGAAATTTTTCCCCGTGAGAGCAATTAGACATTGGAACAGTCTCCCAAGGGAAGTGATGGATTCCTCAACTTTCCGACTGTTTGAAGGCTCAGCTTGACAGGGTCCTGGGCCACCCCGTTTAAACTGTATTTCTTTACCTCACAGGGCCAGACTCAACGATCCTCAAGGTCCCTTCCAATCTGGTATCCTACGATCTCCACTGGCGTCCTGCAGCAGGGATGTTGACAACTTGAATTTTAAGACTCCTTCCCAATCGATCGCAATGGGAAACTACCAGACTGAGGTTTTCGCTGGCTCTGGGTTTCGTCATAGAATCATATCAGCTGGAAGAGACCTAGAAGATCGAGTCCAGCCTTTGTGCCAGCCCTATCAACCCACTAAACTAGGTCCCCCAATGCAACACCCACCCATCTCTTAAACCCCTCCAGGGACAGTGACTCAACCCCCTCCCCAGGCAGCCTGTTCCAATGGCTGACAACTCTTTCAGTAAAGAAATTCTTCCTAATATCCAACCTGACAACCCCTTGTCCTATCACTCTCCACTAGGAAGAACAGACCAATCCCCGCCCCGATACAACCTACCTTGAGGTACTTGCAGAGAGTGATGAGGTCTCCCCTCAATCTCCTCTTCTCTAGGCTAAACAGCCCCAGATCCCTCAGCCTTTCCTCATAAGACTTAAATTCTGCAAACTCCATCGCCTCATCCCGGTGCCCACTGAGGCCAAACAATGCGTAAACGAGGTGTAACTCGTGTGTAAAGGGACCATCCCTCCAGGTGGTGCCTCCCCTCTCCAAGGCTGGGGTTGTGCTCCTGGGTATGCAACACCGTGCCCAGCAGGAAGGCACAGCTCACGAAAATTAAAAAAAAAACAACTCAGGATGTTGCTATGGGATTGAAATGTCTAGAAAACCTCCTGCACCAGGAGCGGTTGACGATAATGACCCCGCTCAGGGCAGAAAGTGAGGGCAGGGAGAGGTGTGAACACAAAGCAGCAGCTCGGCTCCGCAGAACTGAAGTGGTAGAAGAGAAATTCAAAAGGCTTTTCTCATTTTCAGGCAGTGCTCTGAAGAGAAGATAATAGATACAAGAATATTGGCTACCTTGGGATACCTAGTCTGCAAAACATACAAGGAGAAGCAAGGAGATCCTAACTTCTGGAGGTTTCAATCAGAATAAAACCACGGAAACTTCCAACCAAGAACGCCCAACGCGCGCTGTTAGAGCTGGTAAACGGAGCTGCTGAATTTGGTAATGCTGCTGCGTTGCAAACTCATAATTAACTACAGAATCATAGAATTATTAAGGTTGAAAAAGACCACTAAGATCATCCAGTCCAAACTGCCCGCGTGTGCTTTAAAATAATGATTTCTGGAGCAACGAGGAGCTGTTTCACATGGACACGAACACACAGATCCACCACAAACTGAGCCCAAACTCCCATTCCAGACCCTGGAGTTTTCACTTACTGTACTGAAAAACTATGGCGTGAAAAAAAAAAATTAAATACAGTAATGCATGCATCTTTGAGAAGTAACATAGCTCAACATTGGCCAATTCCTCCAATTTTAGTGCTATTAAAAAAAAAAACTATTTAAAAAAGAGGAGGATTAAAAACCAGTTACTGTAAAATTAAAAGATAAACCATTCTTGTTTCACTTCGCTGGGGCAAGCCTAGGCTGATTTTGCTCAGCCCTCCCTTCCCCAGCCCCAAGCTACAGCCCCAAAAAACCCTTTTTCCCACTGGAGAGGTTTTGAGTTTCTCCTCCATGAAAGACCTCGCTAGGAAAGTTTCGGTGCTTATTTTCCCAGTTGGTTAGCCTTGTTAATAAATTAGATTATTTTTTTTAAAACAAAACAAAACAACAAAACAAAACCAACACAAAACCTCCCAAACCATAACATCTGAAAATTAAATTGCTGCGTTTCCTCAGCTTCAAACCGACGTAAGCAGCGTTACTTGAACAGTCCTCCTAAGATCACTAAATCTCTTCTCCAGAGAGAATTACAAACAACTGGGTCATCGCCCAACCAGGCTGCTTTTTCCCCCGCGAGCTCCCGGCAAGCAACCCCACTACTGACGCCGCCGCGGCCATCTCGAGCCGCTGGATTTCTTGCGAGGCGCTCATGGAGGAGAGATCTGCTCCAATTTCTGGGAAATGTGCCCCGAGCTGAAAGCAAAG